AGCGTATGGCCTCAAAATAAGGTACAACAATAAAAACTTTACACTTAGTACAGTTGATAGTGACTGTAAAATGTATAGGTAAAGGTGCACTTTATTGATCTCCGTAGGGCAATTCAATCCTCTGCATTTGACCCATCCTGATGCCGCTAAGGCTTACGCATAGACTGTATATATTAATGGACAGAGTCACGCCTATCTCCGCCGTTCTAACTAATGGGCCAAAAAATGTGCTCTACTGGAGCAATCCAAAATGGCCGCGAGTGGTCCCGACAACAAGAAAATTGTGAAAAAACGCATCTGCTCATGCGTCAGCCGGCGCAACTCCATTCATTTGAACGAGAGACTTAAAAAATTCAAAGCAAGTAAACTAGAGTGGACCAAAAAAATCCACCCCCCTCAGCATTGACACACATGTGGAACGGAGCTTCGGGCCAAGAGCCAACTTTTGGTCCATCCTGTAAAGACGTTTTTGAGAGGTCTGCCAATGCTATATGTTAGCATTGGCTAATTCTACTTCTGGGTCCACCCCCATCGGCCCGGGGTGGTATTGCAAGCATGTCAGCGCACGTCATTTTGGCCACTTTTGAGCTGGGACCCTCCCCCACTGGGCTTACGTCAGGAGCAGTGGTCAGCGTAGTGACAGCACCCAGGAACCCATCTCCAGATGTTGATGCTCAGCTTGGTCAGGACCAGAGCTGGATGATTTAACCTAGTGAGCATGTTTTTAATGGTAAGGGAAACCGGAGCACCCGGAGGAAACCTACGTAACCACGGGGAGAGCATGCAAACTCCACTCAGAAAGACCCCATTCCGACCCGGATTCTAACCCAGGACCTTCTCAGCCACCGTGCCGCCCCGAGAGAAAGCTGGAGTATCTAACTTTCCAAACACAAGACCTTAATTATTTTTGAAAATTCTTGTGACTCGTTCATAGTTTGGTTCCATCTCTTTCACGTGGATGTTTTTTTGGCCTCTGCTCCATCATTTTAACTCTAACCTCTAATCTGCCTTCAGCCCAAAGTATCAAATAGTGACTCAATGAGGTCTTTCTTACAAGTTCTGCAAAAGATAAAATGTTTGTGATAAAATGAAGACAGCATGTCGAGGTCTGATTCATTCACAATATTTTACCTTTACAAGAATCTTTCTGTTGAGACGGAAAGATTCTCTCTCCATCCGTCCCTGGCGTTTTAATCTGAAGCCTGGTTCACACGGCAGGATATTTAGGCCGATTTAGACCCGATTTACCCCTTACGACAATCTTAAGAAACGCTCCGATTTCCGTAACAAAATCTTACAGATTATCCTGCCGTGTGTGGTGTGTTAAGACTGCACTCGTCGCTCGGAAGGACATCGGGACTGCTCCCGATCTCAAATCGGGGATATCCAACATGTTGGATTGTTTTGGCCCGATTTCTCGTCGTGTGTGGTGTCCTCCGAGGACAAGCAAGCGCGTTGCCATGACTACGGCGTGTAGCCAATAAGAAGACGAGGTGACAAACCGGTGAGGAAACACCGGAAAAAAACCAAAACACAGCAGCATGGCTTTGACCATTGCCTTTTCTTTGGATTACGTGTCTTCTCTGTTAACAACAAACTGCACACTATCGCCACTGCATCCTCTTCGTCCGCCATGACTGTTTACTCTGAAGTCACGCTTGATCTCGAGAGACTTTGTGAGATTTCCGTCTGACCTGGGAATGCTCGGTGGGGGGGGGGTGTCGGTTCGTGTGTGATGTTTGTGGCTTGCGTGATCTTGCCGTGTGGCTACGCACCACACACTGCACGACCAAAGTGGTTAGACGCAGGATTTTTAATCTCCCCGTGTGGGGTCTAACACGGAGAAAAATCGGCCGACAATTTTAAAATCGTCTCGTGTGAACCAGGCTTAAGTAGGTGAAAGGCGGACGAGGTTCAGGAACAGACTAATGTCTCCAAGTTACACGTTACTTTCAATATACTTAGATTGATCAAAAATAGGAACAATTTATGGAACGTGACCTGTAATAAACATGGGACAAATCAATGGTTTTGTATGAATCTGCCGGGACACTGGTCACAAGGCTACACAACCACAAGGCTAGTCCAAAAATAGTGGTCTGTCTTGTTGTTTCTTTTCCCTCTGCTAAGATTTCAGAATGTTTTTTCGATAGATGGATGCAGCCAATTGTATACAGACACTAGGAGAACAACAACTTTACACAGAAAGACCTTGCGATGCCTGGGAGTCCAACCGTGCCCTGTCTTTTCCCCCAATTATTACAGCATCACAACCTGCTTTTCTGTCCCAGTTCCCAGTTTTTATCATTATATGTTAAATAAAATATAAATAACATATTATTATTAGATGAATATAGAAATTTGTGTTCATGAATTCCATTAATTTTGTGGTTTTCTATAGTGCTTTCATAGAATCCTACAAAAAACAACATACTGTATTTTTTCATTACAACGCTTTTTTTCTGTACAAACCCTGACATTTCTAGTTTTAGGTTATTTGTTTGTCTGGATGGGACAGTGTGTATCAATGATCTGCATGTTCTGCAAATACACAGATCTGTAACCTTGGGCTAATTTCCATCCATTGTCCTGCACAGTCGCACTCATTCACCCTGAGCTCTCCCAAACTTTAACATGTACCCAGCCCTAATTATGAACAATAAAAGGTTGTTTTGAATAAATGCATGATAGATAAGTTCGATGCAATAGCGTGAAAGATTCCAGGTACAGCATTAACATCTCCATGGAGACAATCCGATATCTTAAGCGAGAAAATGACATACTGCTTTGAGTTTAGCAAAATTCCTCTCTTCACATCATCTCTGTTCTCATCCACCAGCAGCTGTAATAACTTAATGGCTGCGGTTCGCCACTAAACACGTGTCACATACAAATGAAGCTGTTTTTTCCACAATTTCTCTTGTTAGGATGACAACCAATTAGTCACGTCTTGATCTTGTCATTTTAATTGCGGTGTTGAAACATGTCACAGCTATGTACTAAATTGCGTCTTTACTCTGAAAATCCTTGTGGTATTTCTTGTCTATTGCAGAACATTTGACACAAGCCAAGTTGACCTGTGCGAATATGAGAAGGCCCAGTCTTGGTAGTCATTAGCGGATGAAAGTCGACATGCTTCTTTGCGACCGGCGAGAGTTCAAATCGCTAATTGCTGCTTTTTGACCCTGATTCACGTCCGACTTAATTGTTCCATTCATTATGTGTTACTCACTTACTGGGGTTTTTCATGTGAGAATAATTGGGGACCCAAGAGCCACAGCTTTCATCAACCATCCATCCATCCATCCATTTTCTTCCCCTTAATCCATTTCTGGGTCGGGGGGGTGGCCAGAGATGCCACCCAGTTCACAGAGCACCAGCCTCTCACTGATCCTCCTGCAGGTGGTGAGTCCACAGGAGCTGAGATCTTTCAGTGAGGGCTTCAGGCAAAGTGGGGTTAAGTGTCTTGCCTAAGGACACAACGACAGCAGTCATCAGTGGGAGTCGTGAAGTAGGTCTTACGGTGGGCTTGAACCCACGACCTTCAGGCTCAAAGGCCAATGCTCTACCAACTGAGCTACTGTCGCCCCTTTCATCAACCAGACAATGTAAAATTCAGTTTCAGCTGAATTAGATCTGTTTATTATTTTACCATAGGCTTGTATGGGTATCACATAGCCGACAAATTTAGGTTGAAGTCAAAAGGGCCGTATGTATTTTATTTTGTTTTCAGGATTTCATTGTGTCATTGATAATTGGAAGAGAAAAAACAGATGAGATTGAAAGAGATAGAATCTCGTGTCGAGTGGAAAGCACTCTCGCTTCTCATCAAGAAGGTCCTGGGTTTGAATCCTGGTTGGAACAGGGCCTTTCTGTGTGGAGTTTCCATGTTCTCCCTGTGTCTGCGTAGGTTTCCTCCGGGTACTCCAGTTTCCCCTACCTTGCATGTGCCTCCTGTACTGGCGACCCTGCTCCCATCTCTGTGTAGAGTGAGATACGAATGCTCAAAAAAAACAATTGTAAACCGCTTTGTGACTCTGGTCTGTGAAAGGCGGTATATAAAAAAAGATTGCTTACTACTACTACTTACAATCTGGCAAAACATGACGACTACAATTCAATCACTCGGCAAAAAGTTATGTCATTAAAAGTTCGAAACCAGTTAGAATACATTAAAATCTCTGTACTTTAAAGTACATAAGGATATCTGCACATGTGTTGGTGAATATGTATGATGCCTCCCTCTCTTTGAGAAAGAGATTTCCATATGAAAAGTCCAAGGATAATGATATAGTCGTATACGTAGCTCACAGCAGCATGAGGAATCTGGTACTTGGACATTTTCTGACTGAGGTTTGGCTAAAGTAGTACTTTCTAGAGTATTTCGAGACATACTGTATCCCTATCCAGTAGATCCAATATTCATGCTTGTGTGTACTTATGGTTCGACTTCATTTGCTCGGTTCAAAACCACTAAACCGCTGTGCTCTTGTCAGCAAATCTTTCATCCAATGTTGTGCCAAACCAGCTCTTGTTTACTCTAATAACCCTGGGGAATTCATCCTTGGGAAGAACTGGAAATGTGTCAAACTTTTTTCTGCAATTTAAGAAGAAAAGAAGAAAATTTGCCCCTTGGTTTGGCACCTTCATCCAACCATTTCAAAACTCGCCAATCTTAGCTCACTCGGCCTTACTTTTGAGTGTGCGTAATGAGATCACATTCTTAGACTCAGAGACAATGCGACTAGTATTAGTTGGCTTTTGGGACTTTTATGTAACCGGTCAAATGACTTGTACAAAGGGGATTATGAAAAGTCCATATTTGTCTCATTGTAGCCATAGCGGGTGAACATGTGGGGGATTATACACTGTTAGTTACATCATTTGAAGAACACTACGGTGAGTTGCCCAGTTCACATGAGGTTTTAGAAAGCGTGTTTTCCTTGAATAATATAAGACGCTTTTCCTCGCTCTGGTCGTGTTTGGAGTGAGAGACTGGCTCACGGAGAGCCCTGACCCGGTCTCACCTCCGTCTCAGATCCTTCAGGCAGACAGGACTGAGCTGTCACTGAGATAAGAGAGGATAGTCCCACGGTCTGGACTGAGAGAGCGAGAGTGGGACTGACACACAGAACATTCTGAGGGGGGTGGGTTACATAATTGTTATACTGCTGTGAGTCAGTGAGGCTGCCGATTTGATTTGACAAGTGCCATTGCTGTTAATTTTTAAAGCTTGGGTATCTCATTCTCACCCAGCAGAAAGAGACTTTTCGTTATTAATGTAATTTTTCGCTGATCGTCCAATCAATCACTGTCACTTTACTTTACTCAGCTGTGCAATAATAACTTTACTTATGTCAGAATGAATGTGCGATATAGAACCACATGTGTTACTGTCACTTTACTGAGTCACTTTGTTCCAGACCCTCACGCTGCGAACATGTGCAGATGTAAACATACAACTATATATTACTTGCACTAGAATATACAGCGTTTTATACTTGCTCCTTGTTATCCTAAAGTCAGGGGTTTTTGTTCTTAATTCTTGCTTCTTCATCCTGGTAAAGTTGGAGATTTCAGACTTTTTTCCTTTATATTGCTAAAGATAGAGAATGCATACTGTTTCTTTTTATGCTAGAGTTAGAGATTTGATTTGATTTTACTTTTATTTTATTTTAGTACATATTCATTTATCTTGTGTTGTGTGCTCCTCATTCCTACTGTCTGCAACTTGTGATGCAACACTGAAATATCCCCACTGTAAGAAGAATAAAGTAAACTTAAGATAAGTCTTCCTTAAATTCCTTAAATCTTAATCTTAATCTAATTGTAGGACAAAGAAGTTGGATATTTGGAACTTATACACAAAACGCAAAACGTTTAATATTTTTGACAAAGTGCATCAAACCAGTTTGACAAAGAACACGCCAGACGCCACCCATTTCCTCAAGTGAGTCCAGTCTTAACTTGAAGCCTTGAGGAAATGGGTGGAGTCTGGCGTGCTCCTGCTTGATTGGAAGGAAAGACCTGCTGGCCCTATCTGGAACCAGTTTGACACCACGGTTTGAGAATAATCAAATTAATTTCATATTGCATAGTACAACACAATGTGGACTTGTGTCACTACCACACACAGTATAACTTTGATAAAGCCAGAGTTGTTTCCGTCTTCACATTTGTGCTTCATTCTCAGTGAAGAATTGATGTCCATAGACTCACTCTGGTCCATAGACTCACTCTGGTCCATAGACTCACTCTGGTCCACAGACTCACTCTGGTCCACAGACTCACTCTGGTCCATAGACTCACTCTGGTCCATAGACTCACTCTGGTCCACAGACTCACTCTGGTCCATAGACTCACTCTGGTCCATAGACTCACTCTGGTCTACATGCAGCAGCTGTGTCGGCTTGGGAAAGCTTAGCCCCCCGCGCCCCCAGACCCACTGTATTATGGTATGTGTCTTTGTTAAGGCCACTTAGTTTGGACCACAGCTCTATGGAGAAATTATTTTACCCCCTAACCCCTCCTTCCTCATATACTGTCCCAGGACCAGCACAACAATAGGCTCTGCTGCCTCTTCATCTCCCAGAATCCCTGTCCATTTATGGAACAGTTGCTTGTCCCAGCTCTGCTCTTCTCTAAATACAACCACAGTTATGGTCCAGGACACTCCACATTCAACAACATTTACAAACAGTTATAATAATAATAATAATAATAATAATAACAATGATACTTTATTATAAATAGTAGTTTATAGTATAATCTTTATTTGTATAGCACTTTTCAAACACAGTGTTTCACAGAGCACCAGCCTCTCACTGATCCTGCTGCAGATGGTGAGTCCACAGGAGGACGGCCGCTCTGTCGTGAGAGTTTAGCCTTGATCTTTCAGCGGGGGCTTCAGGCAATAGAAACATAACAGTCATAGTAACATAAATAACATATCAAAAAGAAATACAGGAGATTAAAGAAGACACACAACAAGAAAGGCAAAACAAAGACAATGTGAAAAAGTCAGTTATGGGAAGACCATTCGATAAAAGTGGGTTTTAAGAAGTGCAAGCCTTCAGTTCATGGACTTTGCTCATCTGCCCTTTATGAACCAATGGCTCTGTGTGTTTTTATCATGGCATTTATTGTATTTAAACAGTTTGAATTCAACGGTTTTGTCACGTCCTCCGAGATCACTACTGTTGTGATTCAGGGCTATACAAGAATACATTGCACAGTCACACACTTATGCACACATTCTTAAGACTTTACTTGTAGTTTTGTGAGCCAGCTGGCATCTTTCGGTCTCCTCTAGGAAACTTTATTGGAAGGACTTCAGCTATAAATTAACTGTAATCTTTGTGATTGACACAGTTGTATGGGAAGTAGACTACAGTGGCAGATGTCATTGGTATGCATGATCCCCATAGTGAGACATGCAACAATTGTTATGTAAAGTAACCATTCATGATTCATTGTCTGTGTTGAGCTGCGGGTTTGGAAAGTGCAGGAGCAGCGGAGCTTGACAAAGTATTTCGAACACATAATAGAACGTAAATTAATAAGCTGCTTGGATTCTGATTTGTGGTCTGTTTTTTTTTTTATGATGAAAAATCTCCTGTTCTTACATAGTTATGTTGAAAAATGGGAGGTATGCGACAAAAAAAAGTATTACAAGTTTTGTTTCTTATTCAATTCAATATAATGTTAAATGTGTTCTTGTATAGCCCTAAATCACAACAGTAGCTTTCTCACAGGACTTTACTGTGTTGAATTCGCCAACACAGATTAGGGAATCAAACGGTTGACCACCAGCCCAAGAAATGCAATGATAAAAGCACATAGAGCCAATGGTCCATGTAGCGACTCTAGTGCCTATTGCCGCTGGAGAAGAGAAACCGGGTTTGTCTAATTGTATGACGCACTGCTTGGCTGTCACAGAGCACACTTTGTCAGGGATTAAGTTTGTTGGCGTTTTAATGAAAAGAAACACGGATGAGGTGATAACATAACGTAGACGTCTTGATATTGAACGAAACAGTGAGAAAACGAAGGTACAAAAGAAACAAACACAAACGAACGGTCAACAAAAACTACGGCGACCCAGCCCCCCCTCTCTACTACTGATTTCATTCATAAAACAGAGGTGAGAACTAAGTAGACACCGCCCCAGTAACCACGTGACCCACACCCGGCACATCACCCAATCAAATCACAGCCCACTGTTATATTCAATTTATGGCTCCTACAGTCCATAAGAGGCAAACGACCAATGTCCATAAATCTCGATAAATGTCCATAAATGTTGTGGAATTTTGAGTGTCCTGGATCATCACCACTGTCTTGAGACCCTCCTGCCTTGACGAGGAAAAACTTGAAGAAAAATACACATACGGCATGATATGAATTACTAATATACAATAGTAACCCTGTATATATAAAAAAACATGGTTAGATAATCTTTCTGAAGTAGATGGATGGAAAAAGGCCTTGCAGAGCTCCAGGGTTGTACATATTGTGCAGGTAGAGCTGTCTGTGGCACATGTATGACTTGTCAATGCACTTTCCCACTTGCTTTAGTTTTACGTTTTCGCATTCACGCAAGGTACACATTAGGTCATAACAACATACAGTATTAGCGTTTGTACTGCAGCCTGTGCGAAGGAATGCGACTGTTCCTCTGTTTTTCGCTTTGACAGTCGCTGCTCCATACTTTATTCTGAGCTGCAGTGGCTCTTCCAAGACTGTATAATATGTCATGGCATCTGCATTGATCACATTCAAAGACATTCATTTATTCCATAGGGTAAAGCATAAATAATCCTGTCATTTAAAATACAGATTATTCCAGAAATCGCTCCTTCATATTCGGAGATTTTCTTTGAATACAATTGAGAAGACAAGCGTGAGTGCACTCCTGCCTTTTCCGCCGCTGAATGTAGGGCAGCATCGCCGTCTGATTTCTTAAATATGTTTGTCTTGAAATCAAACCCCCTCCTCTCCTTTGTCGGATCATGACTGCGTGAATCACAACAGAGCGAGAGGCTGGAGGGTTTTCGCTGTTGATTAGTGAGAGGCTTCTTCTGTAATCCCAATCAGGCTCTTCACCGAGGAAGAGGATGCACAGAGCTGCGTCATAAAATACAGTTTAGTTCACGTTGTATACGGCTCTTTAGAGAGACTAGACACTGTAGCTCACTTCAGTTCAATTCAATACAATTTATTCTTGTATAGCCCTAAATCACACTATCTCAGGGGACTTTACAAAACCGTTGAATTTGCCAACACGGATCAAACTGTTAAAACACAAGAAATGCAACAATACAAAACACATAGAGCCATTTGTTCATGTTGTACAAATAGTCTGTGTACGTAAATAACTCATTGTGTGGGCGAAAATGTGCTCGTGGGGGAAAAGCCTTATATGACATTGTTTGAGACGTCAATCAATCAAGTTTTCAGTTCAAAACTAGATTTCAGCCTTAAAATGGTTTCAAAACTCAATATATAAAACTTAGTCATATGCAGAGATTGGTTCTCTAGAGTCATCATCAACAAATACTGCCAAGCCACGACCCCAATTAGGATTCAGATTAAGAGATCCTTTTTTCATCATAGTTGGGAAAGAACTTTATACAACATTTAGTAAATCGATAATGTAAAAGATTGTATATTTTCTCAAATTGTTTTTTCATAAGCGATGAATTTGAAAACAAAAGTATTGCCCATAAAGATACTTAAAAAAACATCAAATACTGAAAAAATACAAAAAAAAAAAAAGCGACATAAAAATACTGAATTTATCAAATAAATGTTTGTTCTTTTCAATCACACGGCAGTGGCTGCAGCCGGTAAGATTCTTCTCCTCCCTCTCCCTTTGTTAGCAGCAGGACGCAGCAGGACAATAGCATTTATTACACTTGGTTCACCATATTTTTTCAACTGGAGATATTATTTACCTTCTAAAACATGAAATTATACTGAAAATCTTCATAATTTTTGACTGGCCAAAATTAATTTGTAAAATATTTTTTCTTTCATATATATAAGGGTATGATTATAATAATTATGAATACATTTTTCCATTATCTTTTTTTTCAGCAGTGTAGTATGTTATAAAAATGTTGTCCAGGAAAGGTTTGCGGCCCACTAAAGATTATCCAATGACCCGACAGCTGAAAACCGCTGGCTCAGGACCTAAATGAAGTACCCGCAACACATCCTTGGTTTAGACATGGGAGCAGCAGAATTAGGATTCAAAGTATTTCTTGTTGATCCACTCTAAATCATGCCAAATGCAGCAGCCAACGGAAGATTAAAAACACATTTCCAGTGAACCTGCACAAATCCTCAACATCACTCGCTTCGGTAAATAAGACGCTCTGTTTTTTTGTTCAACTTAACCAAAAACCGTCTCTGGTCGTCATGGAAACCCGTTTCCTTAAAACAAAAAATGGTCACTGTGCAGAGGGAGGCTGGGAGGGGGGGTTTCGGGTGCCAGACTTGATATCCAGTAATGAGTGGACAATAAAGGGGGTCCAGTGGGGGGCTCTGGCTGCCTTTCACCCGCAACAGAAAAGGCCGATTGAAAAATTGTCAGCGATTTTGAAAAGGCGTCAGAGTTACAAAACCAAGAGCCTGTTTAGGGATTTTATGGCAGTTTTTAGATGTTAAAATAGAGCATGGCAGGACATAAACCGTGTTAAAGTAGCAAGATTTAAGATTTTCACGTCAAGTCATCATTAAATGGCCCTAATCAGTCAAAAGGCATAAAACATGCTCTTTTTCAATACTGCGTTACCTGATTACAGTGGTTCAGCCGAGATATTTGAATTTCAAAATTAGTTTTACGACCCCTTTATCTTAAATATTGTTTTCATTTCAATGTCCCGCCCTCCACCGTCATCAGAAAGTCTGTGATCCGGGTTGCAAAGCATACTGCTCCTTTAAGTTATTTTGTCATGGCTGGTGGTTGAGTTTTTTAAAAATTATTACAGTTAAAAACCCTGAAGTAAATGTAATGAAAAATTCCCAAACAGAGCTTGACCTGGGGAGCAAATTTAAAAGCGAGCTAAAGGTTGTTATTTTAATCCCTAATTTTAGACTACACGCAAAACTGCTCTCACTTTTGGTCGATGTAAGAGGATTACTTAAGTTGGGATCAGACAGAAATGTGTGTGGTGGTAGATGTAACTGAACTGACCACATAAAGGGCACAGATTTAACATTAAACTTTCAACCCACTCTTAAAACTCACCTCTACAACATTCTACTTTCTGCTATAATCCAGCTATTATAGTCAATTAATCAAAAAAGTGAATAGAACCAAATGCCATCTATGTTTATTTTTCATTTTTTTTCTCGCGCTTAGAGCCCTGTGATATATCTGTTACATTGTTTTCTCTTTTCATTCTGCTGTGGTAGAATTGCAAATATTCAAGTAACATGGGCCGCCTCAAACATAAGGAATACATACACTTCTGGTATTTCCTCCTCCATTCTCCACACCTCAGTATCGGAAAGAAGGTTGTAGAAGTCAGTTTGAAGTAGGTCAGTGCGTGATGAATGCAAAGCTAAACGTGGCGGATCCAAATGCACTCGCCGCCATAAGCCCTTTGCCTCGACAGGAATGCCTCTATAGATACCAGCCCTGGTCACTCTATCCCGCAGGCTAACACAGAAGGCATGTCCCCGGATCCTGACGCAGCCAAAACGGGGCATACCCTCCGGCCCTCAGCTGCTAATGGGCCCCTGTAGGCACCCCGCGCAGAAGGTCGAAGGTCGAGGGGGGTCTGCCGGGGGGGAGCGTGGCGTGCGCTCGGTGAGATTAGCGGCCTGAAGGTTGACGACGGAGCGCGGATGTTTCCTGTAATAAAGCAAAAGCAAATGAGCTACTAACAGGCGGGGACAGGCCGACAGGGGTTAGGTGCCATTTATCTGAAAATAATTGTTTATTTGTAAAAACAGATAAATGCCATTAGTACAAACAATGAAAGGCTTTCTAATGGTCCTGTAACAAGTAATAATCCAATTCAGTTTAATTATTTAGCACATTTTATAAAACGTTTTATAAAATGTTTAAAAACATACATAAAACAATAAATAATATATAAGACCACACAATGATTATAATAATAATGCATTTTTTTCTCGGTTTGTAGCCATTGACCTCTCAGACCACCACCAACCATTCACACACACACCAGATTAATATTAGGCAATGTGTGTGAAGTAGAGCTGCAACTAACGATTATTTTGTAATCGATTAATCTATCGATTATTTTTACAATTAATCGAGTAATCGCTTGGCTGTGAATTATGTAGAAAAAAAATATTTTTTCATCACAAAAAGCTAAAGTGGCAACACTCGAGGACGTATTGATGGCGTAAACTTAAAGAGCGACTAAACACCAAATCCACTTTTTTTAACTCATAAACTGCATAAGTATGTTTATTGTAGTGCTGTCTACATATCCTGGTCATTTTTTTGACATTTTAGTTCAAATTAGATAAAATATCACTTTTGAGCCAAAAAACGTCTGTGTGGCGCCCTCTCAACCTTTTTGGTGGTACTACATTTGAATTTGGTTCTGGCCTCTCCATTGACTCTGGAGTTCTCTATGACATCAGTTGTTTTGTGTGACGTCAGTCTGTCAGAGCCAGTGATGTGAACCCATTCAACTCACACACGCCCCAGCTGCAGTTTGGAGTATTCTGGCGCCATCTAGTGGATTCAAATTAAATTACATTCTGAGATTATTGAGTGTGATTAGGTTCAGGTGTGTAGCTTTACAATTATCTTAGTGTGTAAACAAGGGTGGAATGAGACTTTCTGGTCTGTAAACTATTGCTTTAAGCAGCAATGACAACTGTCTGTTTTTTTTTTGTGTGACAAGTGAGCTGTCAATCACAGCCCAGACCACGCCCAACTCTAAGCCCCCCTTCTTGTCCCTTGGTCCTCCAGGCAACGCCCTTTTTAGAGAAAATTTTCAAATCTTCATGTGGCCGGAGTCAGGCTGGGCACAGGTGTTTAGTCGCTCTTTAAAGTAAATGTTTGTAACAGGCTCTTTGTGCTAATTCTGCTATCTGATTGGATGAGACAGACAGATATTCATAAAATTATAAAAACAAAGTCGGTTTTAATCAAAAATACTACATTTTCATGTCATTTTTGCTTTGTTTGAGTCCGTGTGAACCAGAAAACGATTAATCGGTTACTAAAATAGTTGTCGACTATTTCAATAATTGATTAGTCGTCGATTAATCGATTAGTTGTTTCAGCCCTAGTGTGAAGTGTGTTGCCTAAGCATACAACAACAGCTTGACACTTTACAGCCGCTGCACTGTAGCACCTGGTGTTCCCAGAGGTCTCCCATCACAGTACTAACCACGCTCTGCCCTGCTTAGATTCAGAGGGCTGATGGTATCTGGCTATGTTAGTGACATTTTCAACACTTCTCGAGGCAATCCTTTCAAATTTCCTACCAATAACAAAACATGTAAAGATTGTAACACAAGGAAAAACACATTTTCAAAAGAACAATATCTGTTTTTGCAAATTAACTCTTCAATTGTTGAATCTAAAATACTTTATATATAATTTAGGTGAAATATAAGACTTGAACCTATTGCATTTTCAGAGCAAAATATCTTGATAATGAAGTTCAATGCTGTAGGTGTTTTTGACCAATCAATTTAGAACATACATTTCTATCCCATTTTAACCTCCAATCATGCATCCCCTTTTGCTCTAGAGTTGGACCTTTGTGATTTTGATGAAAGAAAAAAAACATCCGTGGGAGTTTCTGAAAAGATGTTAAAGACAGTAGAGGACCAGGGGTAGTCTTGCACAGTTATTCCAATGTGGGCTTACTGCAACTGGCAAATAAACGGCACCTTAATCTGTGCATTACACGAGGCGAAACTTCAGTCACAATCTCTTTACATACTTTAAGTCAACAAAAAATAATACATTTCATTCAAACTGTCTGTGTTTTTGCAGTCATCCATCCATCCATCCATTTTCTACCCTTTAATCCATTTCTGGGTCAGGGGGGTGGCAGTCAGAGATGCCACCCAAGTCTCATAGCACCAGCCCCTCACTGACCCTCTGCAGGTGGTGAGTCCACAGGAGGACGGCTGCTCTCTGAGTGTGAGCATAGCCTTGATCTTTCAGTGGGGGCTTTGGGCAAAGTGGGGTTAAGTGTCTTGCCCAAGGACACAACGACAGCAGTCATCAGTGGGAGTCGGTGGAGAAGGTGCAGAGGTGGGAATTGAACCCACAACCTTCTGGGCTTAAGGCCAATGCTCTACCAACTGAGCTACTGTCGCCCTTTTTTGCAGTCAAACATTGTAAATTAATACATAGATAAATACAATGCTAACTGTAATAGGCACAAACCTTTCCGCATGGTGCCTTTCCAGCTGGACTGATTGGTCATTGACTGATAAGTGCTGGTTGTGACCACTGACACAGGGTGTAAATGAGGGTGCCAGACTCTCATGGCCTTAATTCTGTGGCCGGTTGCCAGATCTGATATCCCCCTCCTCCCCCCTCCGTGTTTATCCCCATACTGTAAACACAGACACCCAGAAGCATATGATGAGCTGCCAAATCCAATGTGGGTCACAGTCACACTGTTCCGAGTGCTGCGACGATAAAACAGCATTGTGTCCTCGTTGTTCTAATTGTGGATCTCTCTCATCATGTTTGTGTTTTCATATTTTACATCTAGTTAATTAACACTCATACTCCCAGAATTCTGAAACTACTAGAACTCCTAGAGCAGATATTTTGGCGGCTCCATTCCAATTAATGTAATTCGGACAAAAAAGCATCAAATTTAAACTCTTTAATACATGATAAAACTGCTGAATACAACTGAAATACAGCAAAGCTAATACTAACTGCTGCATGTAGACATTATGTTGCTATGGTAACCAGCACTTGTTCCAAACTGAATTTGCTCTGAACCAGAACCAGTTTGGATTGAGATAATTATTTCATGAACCTAATTACATTGGAATAAACTACATATAGATATAGGACAAGTCACAATGTTATGAAGACCAAAAACGTAAATAAACGGGGTAATTACACTTCCAAAACGAAAAGCAGTCGAATTGTCTGCTCTGTTCTAGGGTTAAAACATTGGTTTGTGTTTACAGTGAATATAATTGTGATGCATTTGAAATCTATGATCTGAAACCTTTTAATAAACCATTACCAGTTAATGATGGCAAAGTTTTAGTTCAAAATTGAGGCATTTTGTAAAAACACATAATCGTGGAGCTTTCTTCTTTCTTCTTCTTCTTCTTCTTCTACTTCTTCTTCCTCTTCCTCTTCCTCTTCCTCCTCCTTCTCCTCCTCCTCCTCTCACTCACACTTCTGAATCACCCAGCCCTGCTCTTTACATTCACCAGCTCTTTAAATTTTCTCCTCATTAATTTTTGGGTTCTTTGGCCCATTGTGTGTTCGGTCTCTGTCTGACCATCCAGTGCTCCGTGAATGCACCTCTTTGTTGCCAGGGGCGACATGAGGGGCAGAGCGGGTCACACGGGGCAGATTATCACCTATTGAAATCCTATAAGAAAGGTCATTTACATACTGTCGCTTAAATCTACTCACGTTGAACCCATCCCTGACCCTGGCACCTTACGCTTATGTGAGAAACGAATGCAACACAAGAGACGCCTGTCGGATACAAATGATGAGAATTATTCCGTGAATGAGCCACTGCTTTCGCCGCATACTGTGATGTTTGTTTTGAAATGCTTTGGACTGACCCTGGCACATTTTTCCACATGAATGTCCACTGTCTGTCTGGTATGTGGACAGATGAGGAGAGGATGCAGTCAGGAATGTCCGAAAATGCAGCATTCGGAGGCTTTGGAACGTACAGATGTTTTTGGAAAGGGATTGATTTGATTTTTAAGGTACTGTCTGTATTTTGTTGGTGCTGCTGGACTGAGCTGAAATCTGTCACATCTGTTGTAGTAATAATAACCATTAGGGATGTAAAATATTATATTATTTTACAAGATTGCACATTTCTTGTCTTATTTGCACACCCTGAGTGATCTTACTGCAGCCAAATGCAACATGTACATTTCTCATTGTTCATTGTGAGATCAATAAAGTTTTATCCTATCTTATCTTCTTCTTCTATCATAGAGAGGTTCACTTAAGTTCACAATTTCGTGTCTATAATTATAATATCAGAAATGACTAGCTGTTTCCAGTCACCAGGCCATTCATAAATTGTCATATTTATGGACCATGACACTGAAAATAATATTTTGTCACATAAAATATTATTTAATAAAATATTTTGTATTTTGTGCACTGTTCAAGTGAAGAGGAAGCTAGGATAATTACACACCATGCATTTGATCATGTAACCAGGGATTTTAAAGTAGTTAAAATTTCTCTTGTGAGGGTTGTGACCAGATGGGAGTGTCTTTGTAAGAGTCTGTGGGACGGGACTGTTAAAGTTTTCATCTTTTGGGTTGGGCAGGTGACTCCATGTTGTTTGTCTTTTCACGGGGTCAAACCAATATAAAGACAAAATCAAAAAACAAGCTGCAAAAATAGGATGAAAAAGCAGCCGCTTGTTTGTTTGTGCACGCTGCAGAGCAAAGGATCATGGGGAATGTAGTTTATAATGCTTTGTTTTGCGGGAGAGGCTTTTCTTGTTGTTTTTCGTACGGATGGTAGCCGTTTTAATGATGAAAGAAGATGTTGAGACACTTTTACTACCAAAATATTTGGTTATTTTCATTATTGTTACATCACTAATAACTATGAAAAACAGGGAGAAAATCTTTAAAAGTTCACAATGGAAAATACTGTAATCTCCCTAAATTGAACTTGACTTTTAAATATACAGGTTTGCCAGCTAATAGTAAAACATTATGTACCAAGTAAAAACAATAAAAATTAATACAAACATGTAATACAAACAATACATACCAGAAAGTGAAACTGGAAACACAAAGATATTTAAAACAGGTAAAACAGAAGACCACACAACTCACTATAAAAAACATCCACCAGAAATGACATAATACATGTTATTGAGGTCAGATGAGACGGATGAATGATGCTTTTTGGCAAACTATCAAAGAACAAAATGGAAATCCACTTCGTGAAAGGGCCTTGTAGCTTCCTCGGCAACTGTTGTCATTGAAGAGGCTGCAGATGTGGCGCTAACGTCCTATTGGACAAACACATTGGCTGAATCTGAATCCAGTTGTTTATTTTGGTATTATTCACAGGTGTTGAGTGTGTGCCCTCTTGATACAAACACAAAAGGACAGATTTAGACATGAAACAAATATTGATTCTTCATTATCAGCACAAGGCAAAGAAGCAGCTCTCACAAGATTATTATTATTAATATAGTTATTTATTCTTCACAACATCATACATATACAAACATATTTCAGGTGTTTTGAATAGTATAAATCTAAAGCTGGGGTCCGAACATGGCAAAACAAATAATTAGTATGGCAGAAACAGAGGCATTTAACACAGTAAGAGAGATTTAAGTGAGTGAGTTAGGTCAATGTAGAGATATAAACGTAATTATTGGGTTAAGTTATGGTCGCTGTAGTACAGATATGGCTCGGTCAGGAGTAGAGCTGGAGGATTTTATGTATACAGTAGTTCATCACATGGAGAAAACCGAAGCAGACACAGAGAGATTATGAAAACTCCACTCAGAAATGCCTTGTTCTGAACGGGATTTGTTACCAGGAGCTTCTTGCTGCTCCATCTGTCAAGCAACAAATCAAAACAATTCCTTTCTGATTAAATCTTCGGTGCGAGCTTATATTAAAAGGCTGTTTACATGAGGACGCTGCGACAGTAATGATAGAGTTGGGTATTAGATTGGCCTTTTGTTCACATGGAGACAGTGTTTCAGGAGGCGGAATTTTCTAGCATTGAGTAACGAGTGGAACAGAACAGACCTCACCACTTACCCGCACGTATATTTGGACATGCACAGTAGCCGAGAAGAAACGTAAACAGCAATGGCGGCGGATCAACTAATGCTATGTTTACTAATGAGAGGATGGCAGAATGTTCTGGTCTGATTTTGGAGATTTTTGGAGATTTTGGAGATCTTGGTGATTTTGCTTGCTCACAGAGCCATATTGTGCTTGGTGTTTTTGCTTGGACAAGATACTTACATTTTTATATTTAGGATAAATTGAGGTACCCCAGCTTTTAACTCTGTCGTCTATAAACTTCATCCAGAAAACTCTCGGTACACACTTGTGGCTGCTGTTCCATCTCCGACGCTATTCTCCTCCAGCATCAGACGACAAAACATAATCTGATTAGATTTCCTGATCTTCGAGAAAAATCCTTTGTCGCAGAAAACAAAACAGTGGTACCTGGCATGTACCTATCACACATCTCCAGCTTCTATTCTTCCTCCAGAACAATGATGGAGAAAACAAAGCCACACAATGCTACACACAAAACCGCACTCCGCTCTCCTGCACCGTGGTGAATTCAAATGGCATTAGAGAAGAATAAGGAATTTGCAAAGCTCCCGTTGGCATTTCAGGTACGACTATAGCATCCTCTGCACGGATTTGGTATTGATTTTTTTTTTTCCTAGGGTGGAGCAGAGGGATATGAAATGCTAATCTATGCACTGAGCAGATGTAGAAGGCCGTGACGCCGAGGGAGGTGACAGCATACACCTCCGAGGTCGGCAAAGGGCAGTGGGGAGGAGGGCTTACTTTTTCCCCCTGGACAATAAATTTAAATATACATGTCATTTCTGCGATGATGATACACATTTCTTCCAGTGTGGACTAGTGGGGGCGGGTCCTAGCTCAACAGGGTCAGTGAGCGCGTGCACTGTCTCCTTGCTGGTGGTGGTGGTGTACCCGGAAACAGAATTATCCAATGTATTTTTGACAACAACTTTTTTCCTCCTAAAAACGGTTTTACAGTCTGGTCCTAAAGTTGACTCTTGGCTCATTTTATTTGGACGCCTAGTTTAGCCGTTGTGGACTTTTAAATTGGATTTGTTAAATGAATGGCATGTGTCAGGCTCGTGCAGCTAACACATGCAGCAATGTTTTGTTTTTGTTTTCTGGGGGAGGGGGGACTCACAGCCATTTTTAAAAACGATGACAGGAGGAAAAAGTGATCACACATAAGTTTGAACGGCGGAGATAGGCGTCTGTTAATATTTACAGTCTATGCTGCGGACCTACAGGATTATAATGAAACTCGGATTACAGTAATATACAAACTTCTGTTGTTGTTGCGTGAAGATACTATATACTGTATCCGACTGTTTTGCATTTTCATAACCTTAATCCAGTAATCTGTTTCCTAATCTTAATCATAACCTAGTTCTTACTGATTTCTTCTGAATGCCCAATCACAGCAGACTAGTCATTTCATTTAGTTGCT